GATTTTTAAAGCTGATATAATATAACAAAGTAAATCAGAAAGAAGAGTTGCAGCGCAAAGCTCTAACCGAGGAACACTAACAGTTTTAAGAGGAGCAACTCGAGTTTTTGAGATAAGTAAAGAATTTATTATCTTAGAATTATGTTCTACTCTTAAATAGACAACTGCTCCATAGGCAGCCATTGAAGCATCGCAAAACCCGTGTAGTTGACATGAGCTTTGTTTTGAATTAAATGTCCATCTTGGTATAGTAATATCAGATGTGGAAATAAGACTATTATGGAGAATTAGCCATTGTTTTTGTATATGAGGGGGAAGAGGATCATCCCAACCAATCTTAAGAATCCAAAGACTTTGTAATAAGATTTTAGCTTTAATGGTAATAGGTGAAATCTATCCCAAAGGATCATATAGTTTAGATACGGTAGACAACAATTGACGCTTTGTTGTGCAATCAGCTTCAAGTTTAACATGATATTGAAAACGATCCTTTGAGGGATTCCACTGTATTCCCAAAACACGAAGAATAGTACTATCAATAAATGGAATGTCAATAGCCAACTTATATTCTTCAGAGCCGAGATCTTGTATCAACTCTGGAACATTTGACGCCCACTTTCTCAATGGCAGGTGAGCTGACTCAGTAAGCTTAATAACTTCATCTCTTAATTTACGAGTCTCAATTATATCATCCCCTCCGAAGAAAACGTCATCAACATAGACGTTATCTTCTAAACATTTAGATGCATTTGGAAATCTAATTCTTTCATTTTGACAAAGCTGTTTAATAACACGATTAGCTTGAAAAGGAGAAGAACGAAGACCATAAGTGATAGTATTAAGTTCATAGATCTGAAGAGGTTCAAATTGAGAAAAACGCCATAAAATACATTGAAAATGTCTATCTTCAGGAGCAATACTGATTTGTCGAAACATTTTCTCCACATCGCTTGTAAGAACATAACGATGTTGTCTCCAGCGAGTTATAATAGCTACTATATCTTTTTGCAAAGCTACTCCAGTATGAAGACAATCATTTATTGAACAATTATTTGAAGTTTTAGCGGAGCCATTAAATACCACTCTTAACTTGGTAGTAAGACTATCCTGACGAATAACTGGATGATGAGGAAGAAAGTTTTGATCTTTAAAATGTGAATTTAATGGTCCAATAAGACTCATATGTGAAAGTGACAAATATTCTTTCATAAATGCAGAATATTGCTCAAATAAATCAGGAGTTTTATTTAATTTCTTTTCTATAGAACAGAAAGTACGAAAAGCTACTTCTTTTGAGTCACCTAGAATTGGCGCATCAGAAAGAAAAGGAAGCTTTAACTGATAAGCCCCATTAGGAAGTCTAATATAAGTATTTTGAAAGTGGTCTTCACATTCACGCTCAAATTTGGAAAGATTTGAACAAGACGGAACTTGTTCTATTTCCCAGAATTGCCTCAAAGTTAAGTCCAACGATTCTTCAACCGAAGCATGATGAACATTAATAGTATTAAATGAAAAACTATTTACAGTTAAAGGTCCTGTTAAAACCCACCCAAAAATTGATAATTGTGCATGTAAAGCACTAGAATTGGATCTTAAAAAACCATCGCGTAAAAACAACCCATAAACATCTGCGCCTAACAGCAAATCTATCCTTCCTTCTTTTTCAAAGTGTGGGTCAGCAAATTCAAGGTTTTGCCAATCGTATGGAAGATCTGACTTAAGAATCTCAGGCGGTCGATAAGTGGTAACACGAGGAAGAACATACGCATGAACGTTAATATGTTTAGAACTAGAATTAACCGAATTAATCATAAAATTAACAGAAGACAGCACATTTCCAGTTGTTGTGCCATTTACTCCAGTTATTGTAGCAGAAGTTCGGTTCTTTGGCAACATTAACACTTGTGTTAAATGTTCTGAAATAATGCTACATTCAGAACATTGATCAAGAATTGCTCTGGCCAAAGTTTTCCGCCCTGACGGAGCTTGAACCAGTACATAAGCAGTAGCCAAAACAATGGAAGAACTTCGTTTGTTTGAAGATAAATGTACATTAAGATTTTCTGGAAATTCTGAAATTTTACTAGTGTTAACTTGATTATCTAGAGAATCTTTATGTAGCAATGAATTATGCCGTTGATGACAAACAAAACAATTATGTTTAGATCTACATTTAGACAATTCATGTTTACCTAAACAATTTAAACACAGATTGTATTTTGACTTGGTGACAAATGTTAATCGTTTAGAAACCGATAGTGCTTTAAACTCCTGACAATATAAAATAAAATGATTTCCTTGACAATAATCGCAAGATGAAGATTTATTAGAAAGTGTGATAGTTGGCTTTTGGTTTGAAATAATTTTGGAAGATTGTAAATTTTGATGGACATGGATTGGTTTTGTGTTTTTATAACCAGTTTTTATAATTGATTTTTTAGACACTTCCAAACACCGAATTCTGGTATCAATAAACTTTATTATTTTAACATATGTAGGTAACTCATTTTGTTCACTAACCTTTAATTCCCACTTTTCTCTAGAAATTTTATCAAGTTTTAGGTTGATTAAGCAGACCAATAAATCGTCCCAATGTTCAACTGGTCTTTTTAGGTTTTTTAAAGCATTGACAGCTGACAAAATAACATCACGAAACTTTTTTAAATTATTACAAAAATCATTGACAATTTCAGGAAATTCAATAATAGACAAAATTAACGAATGGACTAATTGAATCGTATTATCGTACCTATCCCTTAAAATTTTCCAAATTGGTTGAAAATCAACGGTATTTACTGCAGTTTGAGAGAGTATCAGAGCTTCATCGGTTAAACTAGCATGTAAATAATGTAATCGCTCAACATCTGAAAGTTGATTATTGTCAATTACCAAAGAAGTAAATAAATTTCGAAAATTTAACCAAGAGTCTTGATTACCGTTAAATTTTGGAAAAATGATTTGAGGAAGCTTTATATTTTTCCTAACCCTGTCATTAACCGAGCCCTCCTGTTTATCAATTGAATCAATATTAGCTAGCAATTCAAAGACTGAGTTAATAAGTAGAACATACGTGTCTAGAGCTGCATAATATTCTTCAGGATTGTAGAGTTCCAAATCTCCAGTTCCTTGACCTGGTTTGAGTGCGATGATCATCATATGCTCCTCTCTAATATTCTTCTCCAAGTTCTCCAATTTTCCTAGATTCCATTGTAACATTTCTTTATTTACATTTTCGCAGGCATTTAAACGTTGTTTCCAGCTGTGAAGTTCCAAAAAATAACTCTTAATTCTAATAAGATGCTCGGAATACTCCATTGTTTTGGTTTTCATATCCAAAATATATTATGTATCAATTGTCACCACTGACAGAAGCAATTTAATAAAATATTAAATTATTATTTATAACACTAGCACGATAAGAGAATCTTGATCCAAATCTACGGCGCAACCGTATTGTGTCAGGAACAAATTCCAAATTTCAGCAAAATTTTATCTGGCACGATAAATGCTCCAAATCTACAGCGCAACCGTATTGTGTCAGGAACAAATTCCAAATAAATTTCACTTTAAAGATTTTCCTAATATACTCCAAACCACAGGATTCGAAGGACCATGTTTTAGAGCAGCAAAATGAATGTCTTGGAGTTTTAGGAAATAGTATTATGTTCTTTTTATAACAGTTTTATTTCTCGTAAGTTACATAAACCAAAATCGTGTATATGTTTTTTATATGTATAATAATAATAATAAATAATGGTTCCCTAGGAACAGGGTTCCATAGAGATTACATATATTTATTCAATAAGCATATATACTACTTCAGTAACTCAATCTCGAACAGTAACTAGAGAATAAGGATACAAAAATACCGGAAATTAGTGAAATGTTTCGAGAAAAATAACAGTGGTCATAAAATTTTGTGAATCACACTGCGATATTTTTCTTCATAAAAGTTTTTCACTCCTATAAAAATAATATTTATTTATTTTTTTAATATGTTTACATATTACTAATAGTAATTACTATTAATTAATTAATTAATATTAGTAAATTAATTTACTAAAGTAGCTAGCTAATCAGTTTTTTAACTAAAAAATGTTGATGAAAAATTTTAGTTATCAATACCTATAAATTAAATTAATTAGTTTAGGTAGTATACTGTCAAATTAAAATTTTATATCATTTATAACTAATTAGGTACCTATTAGGTATACCTAATAGGTACCTAATTAGTTATAAATGATATAAAATTTTAATTTGACAGTTATTAGTAATAACTGTCAAATTAAAATTTTATATCATTTATTTTTTATTTTCTATAAATTGGTACCTATTTAAGTTTTTTTATGAAAAACAAAATTAATAATAAAAGCTATAAAATTCTTTAATTTTTTTTTAAATTTTCATTAAATTTTTTTATATATTACTGGATCCACGCTGGATTGATGTTGATTCAGCAAAAATCCAGCTGCCTAGGATGTCATAAACTATATTTAGTTCGGAATTAGCTCCGCGAAAACAGCTATTATTAACTATATGGGTTATTTTATTTAAGGTACTTATTTTTCTTTTCTTTTGCCGAATTAATATTTTTATTCAGAAAAACTACAGTTTTTATAACCTACTTATTAGTTATAATCAGTGCCGCCAATTTAGCTCTATTCTCACAATAATTGTCACAATAGTCAAAGGTAATTTTTTTTTTTCGTTGATCGAGTCGGAGAAACCACCAAATATATTTTTTTAAATTTCTCTTTTTCCGAAAAACTAAAACATTTCACAGAATAGGACTTTAAATATTTGTTTTGTAATTTTTTCTGAAAAGTTTATAATGAAAAATTTAAAAAAAGTCGACTGCTCAGCAGCATTTTTAATTTTCGATTGGGTGCAAAAATTTGAATAAATCCACAGAAACGTTTTTAGTGGGGTAATATAATTAGAGGAAATACAACCCAGAAAACGCATAATATAAACGGATATACTTATTCCAGTTGGTCCAGGATTTTTGCTTCCAATTATTAAACAAGGTTTTATTATTTTTGACATTATAACTTCTTTTGTTGCAATTACATTTTTTTTGGTTTGGAATGTAAAGTCATGTAATATTGCCAACTAGATTTGCACCATTTGGAAAAAAAAATAAGTTGAATATCACAACTTTTCAGGATATCACTTTGAAGTCTTTAATTTTTAGTGTGAATCGACTTTTTCTGATAATTATTTATTTTTTAAATCATTTGTTTAATTATTTGGCTATTGACATTGGTTGGCCAATGTACTCATCTCATTTTGACAAAAATCAACTTATCTATTTTTTCCCAACGGTGCAGAAATAATGTTAACAATTATTTTGTTCTTACTCAAGACAAAAAAACAGAGTATGTTTATTTTACCAATTTACCAGGACCCATTATAGTCCTGACCAAGCTAAGCTCTTTCTATTGTCCTGACCCTCCAAACACAAAATGTTAACAAAATATACAGGGTCTCTTCATTAAACCATACAACGTATTCATTAGTACCGTGTAAGTATAGACAAAAGGCCATAAGACAAGACTTATTGTACTCCCTCTACGAAGGCGGTATCGTCTAAGGTGTGCAGCCAATTGAATATCATCATGTTCCTCTCGTATTTACTAAGGGGCTTTCCCCGCTCCCGTTCCACGTCCCGTATCGTGAGCGGCAAATTGCTGCCGGCCCTTTGTTTCGCCACTCGCAGCATGGCGGCGTTCGTGCTGTTCGGAGGCGGCGCCGAATGGTGCGGTCGAGGCGTGGGACTCGAGCCGGGGACGGTGAGGCGTGAGGGGGCGGCATGGCCGTCCGCGCCTTCGGTGGACACGCTCGCCGTGGCAGTGGATGGAGTCACTTCGAGTCGGTCGAGGTTGAATTCGCTTTGGGATAGTCTTTCTAGGGCTTTGTAGGTCGTTAGGAGTCTACGTCGTATGTAGTTTTGTCTCACCTGTATCAAGAACGAACATTTTAGGATGAATCCTATAATTTATAGGTACACAGAGAAAAGTATTCTCTTGATTTTATTATATTTTCCTTGGCTCAAATAAATTATTTATTTAGATATCTACAAGACAATACAATTCATTATAATTAGAACCAATAAAATGCCAGTATTCCATGGTTACGCATTTTATCACAGCGACAAAATTTTTTATCACCTTGTTTACACGTTGCTATAAGGATTTTGACACTTTTCTTGATTTGACAATTGTTGACATTTAAATACTGTGTTTGTTAAATGATTAAAATAATGAATTATAAACTCTAAAAGATCGATGTGTTAGTGTAAACGATAATAAAATTAAGGTAAGTTTGAATAAATAAGGTTTATTAAAGTCTTTTTATATTTTAAAGCACATTTTAATTTCAAATGTCAAACTGACAATTCGTTAAATTCTAAAATTCATTATATTTTCTCACTAAATATAACTCGTGGTATGATTAATTATCGATGATATTTACTCATTGAAACCGTCCTGCAGCTCGTTTTCAATTCGAAAATATCATCGATGATAATCACTTCTTATATTATGGGTGAAGATATTTATTTAGTGAAAAACTTGGGTTTATTTGAATTTTAAACTGATATTTGGTTACCGTAAACAAGGGTGGCTTTAGCTCACATTCGAACTTAAGCTTAACATTTTTGTGGTTTTAAAAATAATAAACATTTAATGTTGTTGTTTGAATGTGAGCTAAATTTAGCCACCCTTGTTTAATTTTTATTTTTGAAACTCAGCCCTATGTAATATTATAACATAGTTATTATAAAAGATTTTGGTATACAAAATTTAATGATTAAATTTTGTATACCAAAATCTTTTATAATAACTATGTTATAATATTACATAGGGCTGAGTTTCAAAAATAAAAATTAAAAACTGGGTGTGCAAAGTTACCCCCAGGTTGCGGATAATTTTGTCTCATAGTGTATTTTCCGTATAAAATTAACTCAATATTTTATTTTATTTTTATTAGACACGTGTTAGCAGCGACATATATCTATTGCAGGGGATTACCGATAAAAAAAATAAAAAATCGACTGTAGTTAACCAAGGATAGAAATTGTAACGCGTGTATTTCTAAGAGTTTTGCACTGATGCGATATATACAATTTTTTCTACTCCCACCTTTAAAACGCCCTTTATCGTACATGTTTCCATGACACTAATTAGTGACCTTTTAAATATACATTAATAAATTAAGTGACCTTTTAAATATACATTGGCAAGTTGTGGCTTTATGGCGCTTTAGTCACGGGCTGAAGTTAGCAACAGGTTTTTAGTCACGGGCTGAAGTTAGTTTTAAGTTAGTTGAGAGTTGTCAAATGTCATACAATCGTTAAAATAAAGTGGCTTTCTTGTAAAATAATACTAAATGTGAAAATTATTTTATTATTTCAATACAAAAATACAAAAGTATTAAATAGTTTCTCAACGCCAATATTTGAAAAGTTTATATGAACATTGTACTGACCTTTTAATTTCGCCGGAAGTAAACTATAACTTAAATTCGAGCACGGACTCCACTGTAAAGTCCTCATAAAACATTTTCTTTACTTTCACTGTGAAAAACTGACAATTTTCAAGAAATACATTTCGATATATAACCTTTATAATCTGTGTTTATAAAATATAAAAATGTGACATTTGACGGTGACACACAGATTCCCCTATTGTTTCATAGATGGCGCTCTATACAAATTTTTGATTTAAATCATTTTAAGATAATAATAGGTATTTGTCGTAGAAAAAGTATAGTATGCACCTCGTTTATAAACTTTTCTATACACTCATTAAATTCGTATATAAAATGGCGTTTATCAAACTTGATACATAATAATATTATATTATACCTACTATTATACTATTAAGTATTAAAGTATTAATGAATATATCAAACAAGTATGTTTATAAATTAAGTCCTTAATTCTAAAAGACACTCATGTCTTAAGTTCACTTATAGAAATGATGTTTAGGATCACTCTACAAAAGCCAATGCAGAGGTGAATCTACCTCAAGTAAATTCCCAAATGGGAATGAACTTTATTTCCTACAGGGGAGTCCATTTATATAATAGGCTGCCTAACAGCATTAAAAATTTTAAAGGTCACAAATTAAAAAAAAACATAAATGATTATATTCAATTTGAATTCAATACTGAAGAAAAAAAAAACTTAAGTTGAGCTTGCTTTATTTATTTTAAGTATATCTGTGATATTTAATGATGACTGTATTAGTGATAAATGTATATGTAAATATATATGTATAAATGTGTATAGTGTATTTAAGTAACTATAAGAATTGTGTATGACGATTGTTAATGTAAATATGTACTGAATTATAATGTGTATATAGAGGTGTCCCTCTATAAACTATCCTTTATATGTTTTTTGAGACGAATAAACAATTATTTATTATTATTATTATTATTAAAGTGTAATAAATCCCATTTCTTTCTTTAAAACACTGATTTTTCTATAATATCACTCAATTGACAGGTTTGACCAACAAATTATAAATGTTAATTTTATCGAGCGCGAAAAGATTTTTCATAAAAGGTTTAAAGTCACCCGCGGTAATACAAGTAAATATCTAGTTGACTTTTTATCTCAGGTTTAGTAGAAGCTCACTTAAAGAAACAAAACCTACATCCAAACAATTTAATTAATTGCTCTAAATAAATATTTCTTTACACAACAATAAGTTGTTTCAAGAAACTTATGATTTACAACCAAATAATAGTATTTTCTTATTGTAAACAAAAAGTTAAGTACCTACTACGAAAAAGAAAATTTTACTTCATACAAGAAAACCTCTTTCAAATAAATGCATTTTCTTAAATCAAAAGATTACTTTTTTCTGTGTAATAGAAAAAAATTAAAATATCGTATATTAAAAGAGCGAAGAATCAATTCATCAATAATAATCTTATTTTACTTCTTAATTATACATTAGGTGGACCTGGGTTATGAAAACCATATCGGCCAATGGTGTTCAAATACCACTGATTGGATAATTTTAATCTTTAATCATCCGATCTGTATATTAAATTTTTGAATTTTTTTTATATTTGTGAGTACTGACGTCGTTAATTTGCCCCTTGTGGAACTCAAGGTTACTTATATTTCACAAACTATTTCATTAAGCATGTGCACACCACGAAGCGCAAAATCGAACTACTCATTTATAATAATAATAATAATAACACAGGTCTGCGATAAAAAGTTTTTAAATACTTTCATATAAAACGTATAGATTTTAACCTATATATTCCAACCTTAAGCTTTGTTTTAACGTATCACGTACATTTTTTGATAACTAAACATACATAATTAAACATACATAATACATAAGATGATAAGTGTCCATCTTCGGACAATATCTTGCACAATTCCGAATACAATGTTTGGACAGCTTTGGAATTTTTGACGTTTTAAGTGCGTCGGTACCTTAGTGTTTCTATAGTAAGCCATTACGAGTGATATCACATATGTTAAGACTGTGTTTTTTAACTTTAACGATGGCTTCTCGGTCTTGCAAAAATAGAATATGTTTTGTTTTATAGGCGGCGGACAATATAAAACAGTTAAACAAAGGCTAATACTTAAGGCAAATCAAAATCATTGTCATTTGGTATTATTCCTAAGTTGGGGAGTGAGCAAACAAATCATACTGATGATTGTTACTTTTGTATAAGTAATGTGACCGGATATAATTCTAAAAACCTTGCCAAAGAAGTACTGTCCGTTCAGGCTAAGTTGAGCGGTCTAAGGAATGTCACCCAGTTCATCATCTATAAGATCAGGCGCAATAAAATACATGTATTTCGGTAGCCGCTCTGTACGAACAAACGACAAGCCGCGGCACTGATAAATCATCTTCTTATTACCAAAATCTCGCGACGATTCGATATTTAATTTAATCAACGGCCATATGATCCCCACCAAAGCGCTCAACTTAGCCTGAACGGACTGTATATCCCGATGTTTCGTCAATAACAAAATCAGTTCCAAACGGGCCCGGATATGCCTTTATCACAAAATTCAGATAACAGCGATTTTCCAAGCAAACTGAATGACTTTGTAAGGGATCTTGGATTACCTAAAGACGCAGCGGAACTTTTTGGTTCTCGTCTAAAAGAAGACAATTTATTAGATCCTGGGACAATATTTTATTGGTATCGAAGCAGAGAAAAAGAATTTGTTCAGTATTTAAAGAAAGAGGATAGCTTAGTGTTTTGCTGTGATATTGACGGTTACGAAATACATAATTTGACATCAAATACAATGCACAAGAATGAGAACTTTTTATAGACTATTCGAAAAGAAACTTACGGTAAATAATTTGCATAAATACCTGTAGCTCATTCTGTTTACGTCAAAGAAACTTACCCAAACCTAAACATGTTTTGGAGAAAATAAAATACACGTGTATTTTATTCGGTACCGAATACAGATGGTTAATCTGTGGCGACTTAAAAATCATAGGCATGCTTCTTGGTCAACAGCAAGGATATACAAAATTTCCACGTTACATTTGTGAGTGAGATAGTAAAGCAAAGATTTACTTTGGGAAAAATGTGATTGGCCACGTAGAAAAAAAAAGTTGGAGTAAAGTATTGCTTCCACCACTTCACACCAAACTTGGTTCGTAAAGGCATTACCACAGTTCGTAAAGGCATTACCACAAGATGGAAATACTTTCAAGTATCTCTGTTATTGTTTTTCTAATTTCTAATTATCTGATGCAAAAATAAAAGGAGGGCATATTTACGGGACCTGACATTAGAAAACTATTGCAGGATGCAGATTTTGAAAAAGTCATGGCAAATTTAGAACAAAATGCCTGGCTTTGCATGCTTTAAAAATGTTGTTTCGAAGTTTTTTAGATAACATAAAAGATCCTGATTAAATTAAATGAGTCTAAAAGTTTACTTTTTAAATCC